AGTGTTGGTTGAATTAACGTTTGGCTGGGATTTCTCCGCAACAAAACCGGCAGGAGGATTTACTCCTGCTTGGAAGGTGACAGTGGCTATCAGCGCAGCCACAACTAGAAGCGCATTGCGGGTGTCACTTGGTGAGTCCCGCTTCTTCTGAAACCGAAAATACCTGATCCAGTCCTCTTTCTCGGCGACAGGGTTTGGAAGATTGTTGTGGACATTGACAGTGACTTGTGGTACTGGAGGATTACTAATAGGTGTGGAAGGTATGGAGTTTGCTATATCCCGAGCCCTAAGGGCTCCAGCAAGTCTGAGGCATTCCCGGAGTTGGACATCAATGGGATTCTCCATCAGTAAGTCCATTATGTCCATTGCTGTTAGACCCCATGTGTTTGTTTCGTTCAATTTGAGGGTGCTGGAAATAGTACTGTTGTTGTTAAGTAGAAAATCTACACTCTGCATATCTTGAGATTAATTAGCTTAGACTCCGTATTCTGAGATTCATCATATATAATTATAATATAAATGTTCATAATCATAGCATTTCATGCTTAAGCACTATTCTTTCCTTTTATTTTCAAAAAAACACTAGATTCAAAACTTTAATTCTAACAATCCTAAGTGGGGAAATTGCTTCATGAGATTCAATAAGTAGTAACTTCAATTATTTATTATTATTATTTTTTAAGAAAAGTCTAGGAATACCCCTGAGCGACTAACATGTGTGTTCGCTGAAAATAGGTAAGCCTACCCTCACATGAGGAGGGTGTCACCCCAATTTCACCGAATGTGTCAATAGTAAGGATATGTGAGGGCGTGGTCTCAGGCACTATAAGTTAAGTACTTAACTGGCAGGCAACAAGCATTCACATTTAATACCTTTTAGAAGTAACTTACTACTCGAACTTGTTATCACAAACCCACCATGGTACTTCATTTATCTCTAGGCCACCACATTTGGTGGTTAGTAACTTGATTACTTGAGATTTTCTCTGACATGGCTAAGATATTTTAAAACTAAAATGGAGCTAAAAGCCTAAAATAGACAAGATGCGGCAACGGAAGCCAAAATGGAGCTTAAATCTCACTTCATGTTGGTTTCTAGAGACTGCAAGCTGCAAAACTGAGTTGCCTTTTTTATCAAACCAGTTGACTATGTTGGAAAAAATGGCTTGTTAAGCTATTTTAAAGGCCCATTTTGAAGCCCATATTCAGATGGGGCCTAATAGGTTTTTGGGACGGGTCTCAATGGATTTGCGTTCTCCGTCGCGAGGAGATCGAAATCGAGTATTCATACACTCAAAATGGTTTTTGGGTGAATGAGAAATTGATGATCTAAGTATGTTACTTTGAATGGTAAATGTAGAAGAAAATTACAAAAGTCCCACATTGGCTAGGAGTGAAGCCAATGTGGTGTTTATAAGTGATTGCACTTTAAAGCCTAAGTAAGCATGTATACTAAAGAGGCTTTCTCACGCGTAGGGGGGGTCTGAATCACGATCCCGGCGGGTTGGGGGCTACTGTGTGCGCTTGTGACCTGCAGATCGAAAAACCCGCTCCGTGCGAGTCTATTTTTGCAATTTTTCTTTTTATTTTTTACTTCCAGCCGTTTGGTCTTACCATAAAGCTGTGCTTAATGGCTGCTAAATGCCCATAATGGGGGCTTAATGGGGATCAATAGAGACAAACCGAATTAAGCTTTGATGGCTTCAGTTTTCATCATCAAAAAACTGAATTAGTATGCAGTATGAGGCCAGATTCATCATGGGATTTCTATCGGTTTTGCCTCTTAATATTACAGAGTAATGGCTATTTTTAACACCATTAATCCGGGATTAAATCTGGGTTGTAACACCCAGATTTTGGACCCTGTATAAGGACATACTTCACATGAACATTGGACACACCTCCACAGAGCATTCTCACTCTCTCTCGTCTCTTTTGTTTTTCCGAATTCCTTTGTGTAAGTTCTTGTTGTTCGGTTCTGGTGATAGAGGAAAGATCCGATTCTAGTTCGCTGGACGGTTCTGAAAGTGCATCAAGCTACCGTCGTTATCGTTGTATCCTGAGAGACGGACGTCCAACGTAACCTCAAGCACACGCCGGAGGGGATGAATCTATTTTAAGGAAAACGTGGTCCACGTGCCTCGACATCCTTGTAACTTTCAATTTCGAGTTTGGTAGAAAGAAATGGCTGATAATATGAACGTGGTTGTTCCTGCTGGAAGCAACACTATGACGCCTGTGCCGTCACCTGTGAGACAAACGTCTGTCTCGGTCCCGACCCCCGCTTTGACCTCGACGCGGCCTTCGCCGGTCTCGGTTCCTGTGAACCACAATGAAAAGCCTGATAAATTCAGTGGGCTGAATTTTAAAACTTGGCAACAAAAAATGTTGTTTTATTTAACAATATTGAATCTTGCGAGATTCTTGAAAGAGGATCCTCCTACTGTTAGAGAGAATGAAGTGGATGCTCAAGCATTCCACGCGGTTGATGCATGGAACCATTCTGACTTTCTGTGTCGGAACTATGTGCTTAACGGTTGGCTGATGGGCTTTACAATGTGTATAGCTCAAAGAAAATCGCTAAGGACTTATGGGAATTTTTGGACCATAAATATAAGTCCGAGGACGCGGGTGCTAAGAAGTTCTTAGTGGGCCAATTCCTGAATTACAAGATGGTGGACTCGAAGACTGTCATTAGTCAAGTTTAAGAGCTCCAATTGATAATTCATGAAATACATGCTGAGGGAATGGCCATTAGTGAATCCTTTCAGGTAGCTGTGCTGGTTGATAAGCTACCCCCCTCCTGGAAGGAATTTAATAGCTATCTGATGCACAAGAGGAAAGGGATGACCATTGAACAATTGGTTGTCAGGCTTCGCATCGAAGAAGACAATAGGCGGACTGAGAAGAAGTTCTCCAATGCAACCGCGAGCTCTGCTAAGGCTAATGTGGTGGAGCATGATAGCTCCAAAAAGAAAGGAAAGCCCGGATCCAAGTTGGGACCAAAGGGAGGAATTGTCAAGAAGAAATTCCAAGGAAAGTGCTTCAATTGCAACAAGGTTGGGCACAAATCGGCGGATTGCAGGTTGCCAAAACGAAACAAGGATAAGGAGGCCAATGCTATGGACACGATTTCCAAAGAAGTGTCCGACATCGGCTTGTCTGCTGTGGTCTCTGAAGTGAACTTGGTCGACTCCAATCCAAAGGAGTGGTGGCTCGATACTGGGGCTACAAGACACATCTGCTGTGACCAGGCCGAGTTTGCTAATCTAGTTTCGTTGGAAACTGGAGAGAAGCTCTTCATGGGCAACTCTGCAACTTCTGTGATCAAGGGCCAAGGAACGGTGTTTTTGAAGATGACCTCGGGCAAGGAAGTGAAGCTCCACAACGTGCTTTATGTGCCTGACATCCGGAAGAATCTCATATCCGGGACAATGCTAAGCATGCACGGCTTCAGGATGGTGTTTGAAGCCGATAAGATAGTTTTGTCCAAAATGGGAATGTATGTGGGAAGGGGTTATGTAAAAAGTGGCATGTAGAAAATGAATGCCATAGCTGTAAAACCCAAAAAGATGAATAAAAAGAAAGAGTCTTCTGTTTATATTTTTGAGTCTTCTAACTTATGGCATGGTAGACTAGGACATGTTAATTATGATACTTTGCGTAGATTAATTAACTTGGATCACATTCCCACATTTCATATCGATTCCAAACATAAATGTGAAATTTGTGTAGAGGCAAAACTAACAAGGTCATCATTCCAAATAATAGAAAGGAATACTGAGCCACTTAATTTAATACATAGTGATGTTTGTGACTTAAAGTTTGTTCAAACTAGAGGTGGTAATAAGTATTTTATCACTTTCATTGATGATAGCACAAAGTATTGCTATGTATATTTGCTGAAAAGCAAAGATGAAGTTGTAAAGAAATTTACTCTCTACAAGCAAGAAGTTGAAAACCAACTTAATAAAAAGATTAAGATGGTAAGAAGTGACTGAGGTGGTGAATATGTTGAACCATTTAGTGCGCTTTGTGCACAACATGGAATTATTTACGAAGTCACACATCCATATTATCCCCAATCGAATGGCATTGTTGAACGGAAAATTCATAAATTAAAGGATATGATGAATGCAATGTTAATAAGTTCTGGATTGCCATAGAACATGTGGGGGGGGAAGCCATTTTATCGGCTAATTACCTTTTAAATAAGGTTCCGCATAAGAAAGTTGATAAAACCCCCTATGAATTGTGGAAAGGAAGGAAACCTTCCTACAAATACTTGAAAGTGTGGGGGTGTTTGGCTAAGGTAATGGCACCAACACCAAAGAAGATGAAGATAGGTCCAAAAATGGTTGATTGTATCTTCATTGGGTATGCTCATAACAGTACCGCATATCGGTTCCTTGTGCACGAGTCTAAAAACCCTGACATACACAAGAACACGATAATAGAGTCTAGGAATGCATCGTTCTTTGAACATGTATTTCCATGTAAGACTAAGGAAGATGAGCCAAGTTCATCAAAACGAACTCTTGAGACTATCATAGAAGATTTTTGTCAAAATTCTGAAAATGATGAAAATGTGGAAACGGAGGAAGAGCCTAGACGAAGTAAGAGGGCAAGGATAGAAAAGTCTTTCGGACCGGATTTTCTAACTTATATGCTAGAGGCTGAACCTCAAACATATAAAGAAGCTGTGAGCTCAACTGAGGGTCTTTTATGGAAAGAAGCCATAAAGAGTGAGATTGATTCCAGCTTACATAATCATACTTGGGAACTAGTAGACCTTCCACCAGGAAATAAACTACTAGGTTCTAAATGGATTTTTAAACGGAAAATGAAGACAGATGGAACAATTGACAAGTATAAGGCCAGACTAGTAATAAAAGGTTATAGACAACGAGAAGGCCTTGATTACTTTGACACGTATTCTCCTGTGACAAGAATAACATCTATAAGGATGATATTAGCGATTGTTGCGCTGCGGAATCTTGAAGTTCATCAAATGGATGTGAAGATAGCCTTTCTAAATGGAGATCTCAAAGAAGAAATCTACATGGAACAACCTGAGGGTTGTGTAGCTCCAGGACAAGAGAAGAAAGTCTGTAAATTGGTGAAGTCTTTGTATGGACTAAAATAGGCACCAAAATAATGGCATAAGAAATTTGACGATGTTATGTTGTCAAATGGATTCAAAATCAACGAGTGTGACAAATGTGTTTATGTCAAGAATACAGACGATGGTTATGTCATGCTTTGTCTGTATGTAGATGACATAATAATTGTAGGTAGTAATGATCGGATGGTCAAATCTATTAAACACATGTTGAACTCAAGGTTTGACATGAAAGATATGGGACCAGTTGATGTGGTCCTGGGGATCAAAATCAAAAGAGTGCATGATGGTCTCATATTGACTCAGTCACATTACGTGGATAAGATACTTGACAAGTTTAA